ATTTCTCTCAAATGTTGTTCACAAATCTGAAAAAATCGGTGATAGTGAGCACTTCTCCTTTGCCGAGATAATCCATCCCACCTCACAGGTGTGGCATATCAAGCTGATTAGACATTATGATTATTGCACGAAAACCAGTCAGTATCTGGTGTGAGGGTTAGGGTTAGGGTAATGTTGTGAATCGAGTGGCCCATGGTGGTGGTGGGGTTATGGTATGGGCAGGCGTATGTTATGGACGACGAACACAGGCCACTTGATTCACAACATTACCCTAACCCTAACCCTAACCCTAACCCTCACACCAGATACTGACTGGTTTTCGGACCCCCCCAGACCCCCCCACTAAAGCAAAACTGCACGTTTCAGGGTGGCTTTTTATTGTGGCCAGCCTAAGGCACACCTGTGAAATAAACATGCTGTCTAATCAGCATCTTGATATGCCTAGGCTGGCCACAATAAAAAGCCACCCTGAAACGTGCAGTTTTGCTTTAGNTTAACTTATTTTTGAGCTTGAAACAGATGCAGAACTAAAGTTTCCCTCTACCTCCATTTTTGTGCCAGGCTAGGCTAAGCTAACCACCTCTGCGGCAGCACTTTACTTAAAACACAAGAGTGGTATGATCTAATAAATTTACTCTTGGCTATAAGGCAAATGTAGCACAGTATATTTCCTAAATTAAACTCCATTTTCTTTCTGGATGTGTACAGAAAGTAGCTGTTTATTCCACCAAAAGCCAAACTTAAATTACAATACTTATCAAAGGATTAGCATGGACAGTTCCGCTAAGCTAGGCTAAGCTAAACGCTGCTAATTGCTGCAACTCTACTTAAAACACAATCTAAGTCATCTCACTCTTTTAAATAACTTCAAATAAGCACATTTCCTACAACAAATGTCTCAAATAAGCATCACATTTCTTTCTGGATGTTGGTTTATTCCATCTATAGTATAATTTAAATGACAACTGTTTAATACCTACCGTTTTGTACCTCTTGTGCTAGCCTACTTGTATTCCACCCTGTCATAACAAACACTGGAGTATTGAAACCAACAACCTACAGCATTTTTTCCTGACAACAGCGACCACCCGCAGAGAAAGGAAAGGATGTTTTCTAATTCAGTTCTTCCTGCCCACTGGGTCTCGAGAGGTGATTTCCCGCTGACGCAGTTCATTCACAATGATACAACTGGGTATCTTTACTGAGGCGTCTTATAGACTGCAGTGTTTTTACTCACATCGTCGCTGGTGCTGTTGAGATTGTATCCACAGTTCATGGCGATGTCAATAGGATGCATTTCAGTCCAGCCATCTGCTGTGCAGGTTTTGGAGAGGTTACCTGGAGATAGAAATGACATAAATGGGTCACAGCCACCTAGAGACTTGATTTATTTTTGAGCTGCTCACAAAGTTAGTTTAAAATTGCTCCATGTAGTACTTTGACACATACTGCGACATTGTCAAAAACACTGCAAAACCTCAAACTCCACAAGCTTCTGTACTACTCTCTCCCGCCAATCTGAGCCATTAATGACTTGTTGTGCGTGATGTGATTTTGCAAAAAGCCACTTGGCTGTTACATGTGTTGACATTCTGGTCCTTCCGTTATCACTCAACAGTAAATAAAGATTAGATGTATTAGAAATAACCTTTTATTTCTCTCGCAAAGGCAATTTGCACTTAATTGCAGATGAATCACTCTGTGAAGAGCAACAGAAAGTCTGTGATTTGGTTTATACATGGTATTTATTTAAGGGGTTATTTATTTGTGCTGTACCTGGGGTTGGTGTTGACAGATTGACCCAAATTAGACGTCAACCCAAATGTGACCGACAGCCAAAGTGCTCAGTGCGTGTAAAAGAAGCAAATTAGGACTAAAAGCTTTCATATGGAGGCGATGAGCTGCAGAGGGAAGCAGCAGGAGGTTAGTGTGTGTCAGGCAGAGGTCATGTGACTGTTTTCTTTGGTTGCTTTATTTGAGTGTCATGCTGAGATGATATACAATATTTCCCCTTCATCTTCTCTTTTATTTTCTCTTCAGTTCAGTTCTATAATAACCTATTTCATGGATGTGTAAATCCGACCCTCTTGGAAGACCTTGACTCAAGGACGTTTCACAATCAGTGTATTGAAAGAGCTTTAACACATGCCTGGATTGTAAGGGCTCTTTTCTTCACAAGGCTTTGCTTTGTTTTCATGTGAAGAGCAGCATGTCTCTGAAGCATGCAGTGATCTGTCCTGCCAGCACTCTACTTTACCCTTTCCAGCTCTGGAAGATTGAATATTGCATTTTTGAGACCCATACTGCTTTCAATATTTGATGTTTGCAACACAAATGAACATTATGCTGCCTTTGGTTAGGGATGAGAAAATGTATTGCTCATGACACTTAACATTTGAAAATAACTCGTAACCCTTAAACAAGTCTGAATTTAAGTAAAGCTCTTCTCATTCCTGACATAGCAGAGGAGGAAGTTTGCTTTTCGCTGGTCATTTCTGTGGAAAACCTGTCAGTACATTGAGTGAGACACATCCAGCAGATATATCAGTGTGTATGCTGCTAACGCTTTAGGACATTTTATAAGGTATGGTCATTTATCAGATGACTAAGTTGGCAAATAGACAGAACATTTCATTCCGCTCCCTCTGGTCACGTTAGTCAGACTTCACGAGTGTCCTCTTAACCTGGAAATGTCAAACAGGAGAAAGCTCAGCATGTCAACGTGCCTCAGTTTATGTGTAGAGAAAGAGAATCAAAAAAGGGAGTCAGAAAGAAAGTGAACCAGAGGAAGCGAAACCAGGGAAACAAAAATCATGTTAATTTAGTTTTCTAAAAAGGTCCCATGTCATGGCCATTTCTACTGATCATAATTCCATTGTTGAGGTCTACTAAAATAAATGTATATTGTGCAATTTTCCAAACGCCGAGTGTGTGGGTGTGAGGAAGTCCGCGGATTGGTCCAAACGTAACGGCTCCGCGGACGTTACGTTCGTCACTATACCCGAAATACGTCACTATACCCAAGAAGTAAACAATGGAAAAAGAGAAATGTCCAACGAGGCGTTCTGGGGCAGCATAGACAGGTCTTCTCTGTGTTAGAGTTTTACTCGCATGACATGGGACCTTTAAGTAAAAGATCTTCAACTCCATATGATAAAAAGTTCATGAATATTATAGACTATGTATGATAGGGAAGATTTTCACTACCTAGTTTAATAAAACAAGACGGGTGCAGCTATTAAAATGCAGCTTCATTTTAACACCTGTTCATTATTTAAGGATGGATTCACGTAGGACAGCTTTGAAAAAATACCATCTGGACCCTTCAGACGCCCATATGATTCTTCTTTTTTTTTAAAGGGCATAACCGTATCTTATTAATTTCTTTAACTCCCCAGCGTCACGTGCTTAAATGTGCAGGTGCCTTTTGGGAGGAAGCAGTGGTTATTGTAAATGTTTTTAACATTGTTTCGAAAAATGATGGATATTGTCCAGGGATGTGAAAACCGAGATTGACGTGTCGTTGATAATAAAAAATTGCACTCTAAATGCAAATGTAAACAAATTGCTTGGATCACATTTATCACTGTCAGAACACAAAGTCCGACCAAACTTTCAAAATAAACAAACTTTATATATTTATATATTTAATTTGAGTTGATAGAACTAATTAGGCAGTTGTTATCTATCCGGTTGGTTCTGCCTCAGTAGGAAATATAGATCCCAAAACTATGAATGCAGATTTTCGTGTTTATTTTTAATGGAATGTTTTTGGGAATGTTTTTGAGCACCCCCAATTACATAACACTTACTATTATATCTTATTAAAGCCTCAATGTTATACTGAGATATAAGCATCAGTGTCTGACCTGCTCAAAAAGACAAACCATGAGAATCAAAAGGTAAAAATTAAGCATGATACAAGATATATTTAATAGAAATATTCACAATATTATAGAGGCTTTTTAAAAAGGGGCTTTGGTGGTTGTCCCTTTCCCTTTGGGCTCCAACACATTAGGCGCCTTCTGATTAACTACATTTTTGTGTTGCAATAAGTTAGTCTCTCTCCGTTGGTGCGCTGGGCTAATGCTAATAATGCTAATGCGAGCAAATAAAATGGCGGCTTCACAAAACCTTTTGGGAGCTTTACGGGCCGTGGTTTGCAATCCGCCCAGCCAATCAGAAATGGGAACCTCTTTCTCCCAGGAAAGTATCTGCTCTCTAGCAGGGACTGAAAAGGGGGTGGAAAGGTTCTCATTGGTCTGAACGCAAATTTTCGGAACTATATTGGAACTATACTGGGAGAAGTACTCCGGTGTGAAAGCGCATAAGTGATAGACTAAGGGGGGGGACATCTGAGGTTAACCAATCACAACAGAGCTGACTGGGCTCTGGTTTCAGACAGAGGGTGAAAAGAGGTGCTGCAGCACAGGCAGTATGAGAAAGAGCTTTTTGAACAATAAAGCATGGAGACATGTCAAACTACAAATATGAAACCTTAAAATGAACAGAATATGGCTCCAATGAAAACTTCTGTGGCTGTCTCCTCTCCGTTTGAAGCATTTTTATCTTGTTTTTTGCACACGGCTTTAAACCCCTCCTGGCTGCGCTCCAGTACACGTGGGGTTTAAAGTGCATCTCCATCTTTGAAGTGTTACATTTCGCTGAGTCTCTAATTTTCAGTTTGACTCCGAGGTGTTAATGCCTGCATGAGTGCTGCAAGAAAAAAAGTTCACGCTTCAGTGAGCTCAAATGGCTCAGGGGACATGCACCATTTTAAAATGTGACTGGCTGTTAAAGAGGTGATGGATTTGCCTTTTCAGCGCACACAGAAAATGGGAATATTGAAGTGTATTATTGAAATAATGACGAGGACCTGCAGGTGTTAACACAGAGGTGTACAGAGAGGGGGATTATACTTTACTTTGAGAAGTCTGAAAAGTATTTCCGTCTAGGTAACACAGCCGTCAAGGGCCCATCAGCCCATCTCCAATAGTACAAATAATTGGAATATAGCACTTCTCTCAGTAAATGGAAAATATTATTGACCTGCTGGGTCAAAGAGGCAGAGGAGAAGGTGAAAAGCTCAGGGAAATATCTCCGAGGCGATGAAAAGAAGAAATGGATATCCATCAGCAGAGATCTGAAATGACTCTGAGAGGAGCAGAGGAGAAAATGACCTTAAGAAGAGATTATTTGGGTCAGAAAACTGATCTTGAATCATATGAGATTCATGGCTGTTATGACCTGTGGCTTTTGTTCTCAGTGTAGATTCAACCTGTGCAAAATGTCACTATATGTAGGGCATCAGAATAGTATCAAATAAAAACTGTATTT